TATTTCCAATGTATGATGTATATAAATATTTCTAATGTATAATGTATATGAATATTTAGAATGTATAATTATATAAATATTTCCAATATTTAGAATGTTGATGTATAAAATTTAAAATGTATAATGTAAATAAATATTTAGAATGTATGATGTATATAAATATTTCCAATGTATGATTTAGTTATGATCTATATTCATATTTCCAATATATCAATAGTCACAATGTAAATGGTTATTTCTGATGAAAATAAAGTTATGATTTACATTCCTGTTACCAATGTATGAATAGATAAGTGTAAATAATAATTTCTAATGTTTAATATTGTTATAATTCATGTTTATATTTCCAATGTATGATTTCTGACCTAAAGTTTTAATTTTGAATTGAATATTGTCTAAAAAATAATGATAATGATAATATGAATAATACAAGAGGTAGTTTGTTTGTTGTTTTGTTTGATTTTGTTTGTTTGTTTGTTTTGTTTTGTTTGTTTGTTTGTTTTTGCGATCAAATATATCGTTTATACGTCATGGAATTTAAAAACTGCGCTGTTTGATAAATTGTCTATTCCACTGCGAGGTTTTATGTAATAGGAAATGAAGATTATTTGATATATTTCTCAACGGTTTTAAGAGAATATTTCCCTAATAATCTATAAACATTTCTAGATTCGATTTGCCTTAGCAGAATACCGAATTATGAAAATATAAGATAGAGTATAAATAAGAAAGATATTTCTGTACAAAATATATTTCATAGGATATAACACATTTTATAACATATATTCTATGAAATATAACATATTTCTTTATGAAATATATTTCATAAGGTTTAAGATATTTTTATATAAAATATAATTTATAAGATATAGAATATTTTATACATATTATCTATTATGTATTTTATAAATATTATATATAAAAAATATTTCATATGGAAATATCTAAAATCGTTCGTTATAACTGGATTTTGGCAAAAAATCATAACTCAAAATTTAGCAGGAAATCATAATTCAAGACGGCGGGAGATTATAACTCAAAATGTTGGCGGGAAATCAGAGATCAAAATATTAGCGAGGAATCAGACTCGGATTTTAGCGGTAAATCACAACTCAAATTTTTCGGCGGGAAGTCATTTTGAAAAGCCAAAGAATCAATATATTTCAACAACATACAACTCCTTTACATTGCCAAAATTTACTTTCATGTATGCTGCACAACCAAGTGGAACGAAAAAAATATTTTGATTTCCCGCCATAATTTGAGTTACGAATTCCCGCCAAAATCCGAGCGTGGTTGCCCGCCAAAATTCAAATTATGATTTCCCATTACGTACCAAACCAGCTTTGAGACAAAAGAAAATCCA